GACTCTGTAGAGGAATGTAATGCTGAGAACTCCAACAACCTAGTTTTCCTGGGTGAGGATCACTTCCTTGCACAAACTGGGATCTGCCTGGTGTGTCTGAATTTTCCCATGTCTTCACAGAATTCTGAATCGTTTGTCTGATACTGGAGCCCTATTGCCTCTGAACTACAAAGCAACTGAACGACAATATTCTTCTGGACTTTTAACTTCCTTCAGATGTCTACCTGCTTTACGATATGTCACTGATGGTTCCAGAGCTGAAAAATGCACAAAACTTTACAGCAGACTTTAAAAGAAAAAAAGAAAATTAATTCTGATATTAATAGTAAACTGATTTGCATGTCAGAATAAAGTTTATTAATTATTTTATCATTGTTTTTGTCTTAAGCTTTCTTAGGCACAATCTGATAGTCAAGAAAAATAGCTAAAATCTCAATCTCTCAATTAACAATCCATACAACATGGAAGTGGCACTGTAGCTCAAGTGGTAGAGCGCTCGCCTTGAACTGAAGAGTTGAGGGACAGCACCCAGGCCCAGAGTTCAAGCCCTACGACCAACCAAAAAAAAAAAAAAATCCATAAAACAAATACTAAGAAGGTAAAAATTTCATTACAATGACTTCTAAATTGGGGTAAGAGGCTGGGAAGGTGGATCAGTGGTAGAGTGCTTGCCTTGCATGCATGAGGCCTTGGGTTCAATTCCTCAGCACCACATAAGCAAAAAAAGAAAAAAGCCGGAAGTGGCGTTGTGGCTCAAGTGGTAGAGCACTGGCCTTGAGCTGAAGAGCTGAGGGACAGCGCCCAGGCCCAGAGTTCAGGCCCCATGACCGGACCCCCCAAAAAAAAACTAAATTTGGGTAAGAGCTAACATATAATACTTAATATGAACCAAACACTGTTTTAGGTTTATCATGAGGTAGGTACTATTGATAAGCTCCATTTCACACATGAAGAAACTGAGGCAGAGAGACACAATTTGCCTACCAGAGATCAGGAGGCTAGTATGTGGCACAGCTAGAGTCTGAATTAGGTATTTTTATTTATTTATTTAGCAGTACTAGGGTTTTGAACTCTAGGGCTCTTACTTCCTAAATAGGCTCTTTATCACTTGAGCCATGCACCTAGCCCATTTTGCTTTACTTATTTTTCAAGTAGTTTCTCATGTTTTTGCTCAGGCTGCCCTTAAGACTGTGATCTTCCTCTGACCTATGTGTTCCCCAGCAGCTGGGAGGTCAGGGGTGCACCACAACAATAGATTAGTTTGTTGGGATGAAGTCTCAGCTTTTTGCCCAAACTGGCCTGGATCTTCATCTTTCCATCTCTTCTTCCTGAGTAGCTGGGATTACAAGCATTCACTACCATACCTATTATTCAAACAAGTATTCTAATTGGAAAAAAACTGCAATAGGTCTCTTTATTCCCCCCCCCCATTTCCAACAAAACAAGCAAATAAGAAATAATCTAGAGGGCTGAGAAGGTGGCTCAGTGGTAGAGCACTTACCTTGCATGCATGAGGCCCTGGGTTCGATTCCTCAGCACCACATAAGCAGAAATAAAAAAGCCGGAAGCGGTGCTATGGCTCAAGTAGTAGCGTGCTAGCCTTGAGCTGAAGAGCTGAGGGACAGCGCCCAGGCCCAGAGTTCAGGCCCCACGACTGGACCCCCCAAAAAATATATAGAGAGAGAGCCAGGTCCTGATGGCTCAAGCCTGTATCCTAGCTACTCAGGAGGCTCAGATCTAAGGATCATGGTTCAAAGCCAGCCTGGGCAGTAAATCTATGAGATTCTTATCTCTAATTAACCACCTAAAAACCAGAAGTAGCCCTGTGGCTCAAGTGGTAGAGTGCTAGCCTGGATTTGAAGAATTCAGGGACAGCACCCAGGCCCAGAGTTCAAGGCACATGACCTACCAAAAAAAAAAAAAAGCTCGTAATATAAAAAGATGTGTGCTTGGCTGGGAATGTGGCTTAGTGGTAGAGTGCTTACCTAGCATGCATGAAACCCTGGATTCGATTCCTCAGTACCACATAAACAAACAAACAAAAAAGCCAGAAGTGGCACTGTGACTCAAGTGGTAGAGTGCTAACCTTGAGCAAAAGAAATTCAGGGACAGTACCCAGGTCCTGAGTTCAAACCCCAGAACCAGAAGGGGATGGGGGGGCGGGGAGAGCAAGAAAGCAAGATGTGTACTTGCTAGACTTGTTGGTATACGCTATAATCCCAGCATGCATGGAGATGGAGTTAGGATTACTAGGCCAACCTGGGCAACATAAGAAGACTCTGTCTTCACAGAACTAGAGGGAATCAGGGAAAAACATATAACAGTGGGACCCATCAGCTGCACTGGACATTGACCAAAATGAACTAAGCAACTCAATGGCAGTGATGGGAGGGAGGGAACAAATGGGAAAGAAGGAACAGCTGATGCTATGCAAAACAGAAGAAATGTACATACCACCCAATGTGGAAGAAATAACTGTATCACAAAGCTCATAGAACTCATAAATGTTATAGACTGCCATAGACAATTTGCTTCAGGAAAGTTAGAATGTGTTTGTTACTTTAACTGAGCATCACTACCCCACAATACTGTGAAATTTTGGGAAATTATATATCCACTTAATCACAATAAAAAATTTGAAAAAAAAAAAAGAAGACTCTGTTTTAAAACAAAATAAAACAAGATGTATTTTGAAAGGCTGGAGATGTAGTTTAGTGATACAGCGCTTGTAAAGACCTGGGTTCAATATGCAGCAAACTACAACCCCTCCCCCAAAAAAGGTGTGCTTTGGGTTCCTCCACATCACTCAATTTGTGTGAGCCACAAAACAGTTTAATTAGTAGGCTTTCCTTTTTTGTGAAATAGTTACAACATCATTGAAGACCTGAGGGCCAGCTCACATAATCTTTTTTTTTTGGGGGGGGTGTGGAGGGGGTCAGTCATGGGGCCTAAATTCTGGGCCTGGGCGCTGTCCTTGAGCTCTCTACCACTTGAGCCACAGCGCCACTTCCGGCTTTTTTCTTTTTGCTTATGTGGTGCTGAGGAATTAAACCCAGGGCCTCATGTATGCCAGGCAAGCACTCTACCACTGAGCCACTTTCCTAGCCCCTCATATAATCTCTTAAAATCTCCTTCCTGGGCTGGGAAGGTGGCTCAGTGGTAGAGCACTTGCCTTGCATGCCTGAGGCCCTGGGTTCGATTCCTCAGCACCACATAAGCAAAAAGAAAAAAGCCGGAAGTGGTGCTGTGGCTCAAGTGGTAGAGCGCTAGCTTTGAGCTGAAGAGCTGAGGGACAGCGCCCAGGCCCAGAGTTCAGGCCCCACGACCGCACCCAAAAAAAAAAAATCTCCTTCCTACATACAATTCTTTGATAACTCAACAGTTTGTGTCTTCAATTCCTGCTCCACACTAAAGTGAGACAATGACTGACGAAAGAGGCATGCCCAAAACCAAGCATCAGAATCCTTATTCTTTTTTTTTTGTCGGTCATGGGCTTGAACTCTGGGCCTGGGCCCTGTCCCTGAGCTCTTCAACTCAAAGCTAGCGCTCTACCACTTGAACCACAGTATCACTTCTGGTTTTCTGAGCGGTTTATTGGAGATAAGAGTCTCATGGTCTTTCCTGCCCAGGCTGGCTTTGAACCAAGATCCTCAGATCTCAGCTTCCTGAGTAGCAAGGATTACAGATGTGAGCCACTAGCGCCTGGCCAGAATTCTTATTCTTGGTAAGGGAAGAAGGCTAAGGAATATGGAGCTTGAGAAATTAAGAGCAGTAAGACATAATTAGGGCTATCCCTATACCTCATAGCCTGGCATTCAAAAACCTTTCCATACCGCAGCTCCACATTAGCCAGTTTGCTTCAATTTATGTATTTTCTCTTATGCAGGGAAGTACCCTGTAATCTGTAATTACTTCCCATCTGCTTGTTTCTCCAAAATCCCAATCAGAATTCATTTTTTTCCATCAGCTTTTGTTCCACAGCAAACCCTTCCTCAACCACTTACCATATACTATGTTTCTATTTCTCTAGGACTTTACATCTTGATTACACTACTGGGCTATATTATAAGTCTTAAATAAAAGTCAAGGTTTTCATTAAAAGGATGATGAATGCTCCCTGCATAAGTGTTATAAAAGCTACGTTTTGGGGGAAAAAATTCTTTTCTTTGTGCAGGTCCTGGGGCTTGAACTCAGGGCTTGGGTACTGTCCTTGAGCTTTTTCATTCAATGCTAGTACTCTACCACTTGACTCAGAGTTCCACTTCTGGCTTTTTGGTAGTTTATTGGAGATAAAAGTCTCACAGTGTTTCTTACCGCGGCTGGCTTCAAACTATATCTCAGCCTCCTGAGTAGCTAGGATTACAGGTGTAAGCCTGTAGTTTTTAATCTAAAAAATGACTTTGTTAGTTGAGCACTGATGGCTCACATCTGTAATCCTAGCTTCTCAGGAGGCTGAGATCTGAGAATCAGGATTCAAAGCCAGCTCAGGCAGGAAAGTCTGTAAGACTCTTACCTCCAATAAACTTCTTAAAAGCCTGAAGTGGAGCTCTGGCTCAAGTGGTTGAGCACTAGTCTTTAGCCAAAGGAAGCTCAGGGACAGTTCCCTGGCCCTTAGTTCAAGCTTTAGGACCAACACAAGAAAAAGAAAAAAAGAAACTAAGGGGCTGACAAGATTCAAGTGACTTAACAGTGGTTTGAGACCAATCTATTCCAAGGAAAGAAGTAAATAAACCAGGATACATCTAAGAGTTGGATCTGGTCATGATTCCGATTCTTTTTTTTTTTTTGGTCGGTCATGGGGCCTGAACTCTGGGCCTGAGCGCTGTCCCTCAGCTCTTCAGCTCAAGCCTAGCACTCTACCACTTGAGCCATAATACCACTTCCGGCTTTTTTTCCCCCCTGATTATGTGGTGCTGAGGAATCGAACCCAGGGCCTCATGCATGCAAGGCAAGCGCTCTACCACTGAGCCCATGCTTCCGATTCTTTACCAGTTGGTTACCTGTTAAGCGTCCTGTATGCAGCTTCCACATTTCCTTCCTGTACCATCACAGTCCTGGCAATGAATTTCAGATGTTTTGCCATCACCTTGGATTTAAGTCTTCACGCTGCAAGACCTACGTGATGATGTAGAGAACAAAGCACTGAGACCGGGTAAGGAAACACAAACTACTGTTCATTTTACTGGACGTCTGGAAATGAAACGCATGCTTTGTCATCTTTTAGAAAATTCATACAAAGCATCTCCTGATTTCCTTGGGACTGGAGACGTGGCTCAATGCTGGAGCACCGGCCTAGCAAGATGGTGGCCTTGAACGCAAGTCCCAGTACTGCCACGAAAAAAAAAAAGGAAAGAAAAGGAGGGAGAGAGAGAGAGAGAGAGAGAGAGAGAGAGAGAGAGAGAGAGAGAGCCGGTGGCTTACGCCTGTAATCCTAGCTACTCAGGAGGCTGAGATCTGAGGATTATGGTTCAAAGCCAGCCCGGGCAGGAAAGGCTGTGAAACTTATCTCCAATAAACCACCAGAAAACGGGAAGTGGTGCTGTGGCTCAAGTGGTAGAGCGCTCGCCTTGAGCTGAAGAGCTGAGGGACAGCGCCCAGGCCCAGAGTTCAAGCCCCATGACGAAAGGAAGGAAGGTTGGTTCTCTCGTTCTGTTAGCACAACCCCTACGTATGGAAGAAGCGAGGCGGTGGCAGGTGTCACCGCTACTGAGCGGCCGGCCGGAGGCTGGAGCAGCAGGGTGTCCCCAGACACCGTTCACCGCCCCAGGAAGCTTTGGGCTGCGAGTCGGAAAAGGGATCTGTCGGTCTTGCGTGGAGGGACAACAGCACGCAAACTTACCCACCCGCTCGCAGCGCCGGCCTGGCCTTCCCAGCCCCAGCACCGGCCCTGCCTGACAGCACCCTGAGGACTCCGCGGACGCAGCCGACCCGAGCGGGCTCGCAACCGACCCGAGCGGGCTCGCAACCGGAAGCGGAAACTACGGAATCCCCTGCGCCGCGCTACCACAAAACCCCAACCAGCCACAAACTGCGTAGTAACCATGGCAACGCTCTGGATGGGCTCTGGTCGGCGGCTGGTCCCCTGAGCAAGCAACGTGCTCGTTCATTCAAGTTCTCCATTTTCCTTTGGAGTGGCAGTCCCCGCGCCTGGGAGCTTAATCTGGTTCCATAACCCCTAAATCCCATTAGCTCCTAAATCCCCATCGAGATTGAATTTCTTTTTCTGGAAGGACAATGAAACGTGCCAGGCTTCCGCAGCACACTTCCTGTTTTCTCTTAGTGAAGGTCACAGGTCTGCCTTCCCCCTCCAACCCCCACAAGTGAAAAACAGGCCCACCTCCCTCATCTGCCTAAAAACTAAGCATTTGAAATGAGCGAATTTCTATGACACCATTTTCCTAGCCATTTCACTAAATAGGGTGAAATCACTAAAAGTCATGGGAAATAGCTGCAGGATTTTTATGTCAGCTTGGCCATTTGCCTTCTAGTAAGAACTGATAGACATATCTTTATTTATTTATTTATTTATTTTGTCGGTCGTGGGGCTTGAACTCTGGGCCTGGGCGCTGTTCCTCAGCTCTTCAGCTCAAGGCTAGTGCTCTACCACTTGAGCCACAGCACCACTTCCAGCTTTTTCTGCTTATGTGGTGCTGAGGAATCAAACCCAGGGCCTCATGCAGGCAAGGCAAGCGCTCTACCACTGAGCCACCTTCCCAGCCCCATGAACCAAGTTTTGAAACACAAAGGCTTACAGTAAGGGAGTGAAAGTTCACTCAAGGGAACAGAGGGAGAATAGAGTCCTAGACTAAAGATTTTAGATGACTTCTCATAGCCTTAGGAAGCTGGAAAGGTTGTGAATAGAGTGACATGCAAACCTCTGTTTTATGAAAATTAATCTGTTTACTAGTGTGAAATATGTGGAGATAAGAAAGTCTATGGCTATAACAATAGTCTAAATTTACACACACACAGAATATATAGGAAGAGATGGATATTAAGAAACACTCCATAGGGGAAAAACAAAGGAGGAAGCAACAATGCTTGATAAGAAATGTACTCATTACCTTACTCATGTGATTGTAATCCCTCTGTACAGTATTTTCACAATAAAAAACATTTTTTTAAAAAAAGAAACACTCCAGCCGGGCACTGGTGGCTTGCACCTGTAATTCTAGCTACTCAGGAGGTTGAGATCTGAAGATTGTGGCAGGAAAGTCAGGAAAGTCCATGAGACTTATCTTCAATTAACCACTGGAAAACCAGAAGTGGTCCTATGGTTCAAGTGGTAGAGTACTCCCCTTGAGCTGAATTGCTCAGGGACCGCACCCAGGCCCAGAATTAAAGACCCATGACCCACAAAAAAAAAGAGAGAGAGAGAGACTGTGAAAATAGAAGATAAGTAGAAAGGAAAATTGTATTGGCTATCACTGGAAAAAGCTCAAGACTGGAAACTAAGAGTTGTGGGCCACATGTTATATACATCATGTAAGTTTACTCACTTACCAACAAGAGTTGATCTGAGTTTTAGATACAAAAAAGTGCATCTTGCTTTTCACTGACATGGTTTTTGTCAGTTGTGGGGCTTGAAATCAGGGCCTAGGTGCTGTCCCTAACTTTTGTGCTCAAGGCTAGGACTCTACCACTTTGAGCTACAGCTTCATTTCTGCTTTTTAAGTGGTTAATTAGAGATAAGAGCCTCACAGGCTTTCCTGCCTGGGCTGGCTTTGAACTGCAATCCTCAGATCTCAGCCTTCTGAGTATCTAGGATTACAGGCATGAGACACCAGCACCTGGCTCAGTAAGTTTTGTGTCAGCTTGTGTCAGCGATATATAAATAAATATTCCCAGCAGAGATGTATCCATTCAGTATCCTCTCAGGTGAAAGGTGAGACGGGAGACGGGAGATGAAAGTTTAGCAGTCATCTAAGTTGAGGGTGTAATTAAAGCCACAGTAGAAAATGAAACCTTTATGTGGAAGAATACAATCATAGAGAAAGACCAAGGCCTGTGCCTGGGGGAACACCTACACTCTGGAGTAGGCAGAGTGAGACCATTAAGAGGCCTAGAAATGGTTGCCAGTTAGGTAAGAAGAGAATTAGGATAGAGTGCTGTCATGGGATCCAAGGGAGGACAGTTTCAGTCAGCAGCATCAAGTGTCAAATGATACAGAAAACATGAAGTTCATAGACTTTGTAAAGGACAGCTGAGTTAGGGGTTGATTCCGGAGAAAGCTACATTGTAATACTGGAAAGCTACATTGTAATACTGATTCTGAGGGCTACTAATGACTTTGGAAAGTGTAACCAAGTGAAAGCAATGGAAGTTAGGCTGCAATGAGGTTAAGGGCCAAGTGGTAGAAAGGAACCAGTAAGACTACTCTGTCAGGAATTCTAGGGCGGGGCGGGCTGGGGATGTCACTAGGTGGAAGAGCATTGGACTAGCATACATGAGACATAGGGTTTGATCCCCATTACTGAGCGTTAAAAAAAATTATGGAGCAAAGAGAAAAGATAATCAGGTTCAGGAGATGTTGTCCAAAAGGTGACACCTGATTGCACCTGTTCCCTCCCTCCCCTAGACCTGGGGCTTGGATTCCGGGCCTGGGTACTGTCCCTGAGCTTTTTTTTGCTCAAGGTTAGCACTTTATCACTTGAGCCACAGCACCACTTCCAGCTTTTTCGGCTTATGTGGTCTGAGGAATCAAATCTAGGGCTTCATGTATGCTAGGCAAGCATTCTATTACTAAGCCACATTCCCAGCCCCTGATTGCACTTGTAAAAGAAATTATTATAGAGAAAAAATAGAAGATAAAATGGGGATAGATGGTTCAAGGTTCACAAGTGAACAACAATCAAAAGCACAAGTAGAGAGAGGCCCAGTGTCTGTGGCTCACTTAGGAGCCTGAGACCTGGAGGATCACCATTCAAAGCCAGCCCAGAAAGAAAAATTCACTCTAAAATACCCAGCAAAGTGCTAGACTGGAGTTATTGCTCAAGTGGTAGAACACCAGGCCTGTGAGAAAAAGCTAAGTAAGAGATGATGCTCTAAATTCAAGCCCCAATACAAAAAAAAAGCACAAATAAAAAGTTTTCTTCAGAAAGGAGGTCATATTTTCTGAAGTACAAGGAGGCAATTATTCACTGCCAACAGAGGACCTGAGAACTGGGAGAAAGATGTCTGACAAGCTGTGAGAAATACACTAAGGAGCCAGTAAGCAATGACTAACATGACAGAATAGTCTGATAACACTGCAAAGGCTTAGGATGGGAGAGGAAATGGTTTTGGTAGAAACTAGGACAAATAAAAAGAGAGAGTATCTGGGCGCCGGTGGCTCACGCCTGTAATCCTAGGTACTCAGGAGGCTGAGATTTGAGAATTGCGGTTCAAAGCCAGCCCGGGCAGGAAAGACCGTGAGATTCCTATCTCCAATAAACCACTAGAAAACCAGAAGTGGCGCTGTAGCTCAAGTGGTAGAGCGCTTGCCTTGAGCTGAAGAGCTGAGGGACAGCGCCCAAGCCCAGGGTTCAAGCCCCATGACCGACAAAAAAAAAAAAAGAGAGAGTAATACACAGAGAAGGGTAGAAACAGATACGTTCATGGACTTCATTTTTGCATCCTCAGAATGCTGGGCTGCTTTCCTTAGTCTAGTGTCCATCTAGCTGATGCACCTTTGAATAAGGATGTGATCCATTCTGAAAGGATCCCCATCCACCCAACTGACAATTCTAGTTAGGGTACCCCACTACCCTCTTCAAAACCGGCTGTTTCAGCTTTTGTGCCCTTCCTCTAGCAGCAGCAGGTTACACACTCATTTACCCACAAACATCAACAGCACTCATCAAAGCAAAGAGCTATCTCTGAGCAGAAGAACCTGTTAGTCTGGGCCAGCTAGAAGATTACATGGGAAAGACAAGAAAGGTGCTAAGCCGGGCACTGGTGGCTCATGCCTGTAATCCTAGCTACTCAGGAGGCTGAGATTTGGCATTGCAGTTCAAAGCCAGCCTGGGCAGGAAAGTCTGTGAAACTCTTATCTCCAATAGACCACCAGAAAACCAGAAGTGGTGCTGTGGCTCAAGTGGTAAAGTGCTAGCCTTGAGCTGAAGATCACTGGGACAGCGCCCAGGCCCAGAATTTAAGCCTCACAACTGACAAAAAAAAAAAAAAGAGAGAGAAAAGGAAAGGTACTAGCCTGAATCTGAAAATAAACAAAAACCAACAACTCAATTCAATCTTGTAACCATCCCAAAGGTCTTCACTAGAAAAACGACAGCAAGAGTCTCTTTACTTCTCCCATAGGATCCATAGTGTTCCATCAAAACTTGATAACTTGGTGGAACTCATGTTCACAAACATTCCCACCCATCTTTTCTTTTCTTTTTTCTTTTTTTTTGGGGGGGTCCAGTCGTGGGGCGTGAACTCTGGGCCTGGGCGCTGTCCCTCAGCTCTTCAGCTCAAGGCTAGCACTCTACCACTTCAGCCACAGCGCCACTTCCGGCTTTTTTTTTTTCTTTTTGCTTATGTGGTGCTGAGGAATCGACCCAGGGCCTCATGCATGCAAGGCAAGCGCTCTACCACTGAGCCACCTTCCCAGATCCCACTCCATCTTTTCTGCAGCTCAGAGAAATAAAGATGGATATTTGAGACAAAAAGTTTCCAATCACAAAGTGGTTGAGTAAAAAAAAAAATACAGCTCTTTAATCAGAAAGAATTTCTCTTCCCTCAACACAAATACATTAAAAGTAAAAAATACATATTTACATAATCACATGGGACAGGTATATAACCTGGGTTAGGGGCTGAGGAGATGAGCCTTGGGAGCAATTGGCAGAGAGCTTCTCATCTGCTCCTCTAGGTGTCCCATAGTCATTTCCCTGGCTATGGTGGGTGGACCAGGAGGTGAGAGGGTGCAGTTCCAATCTGATGACAGAGTTACTG